TGCTCTCCCCTCCCCGCAGCCCGCGCCATTCACACACCCCAGGAAGACTGTCACCGGCCTGCAGCACCGTGGGTGGGGACAGTCCCGGGCCTCCAGGTGGAGGAGGAGGGGGGCCTTGGCCCAGACCCTGTAACCTGGAGGTGGGTTGGGTCAGATGGAGGCAAACCCCCTCCTCACACAGGGCCCAACATCACCCCCAGGCTGCAGTAACTGAGTGCCTACTGTGTGCTGGGTCCCACACCTGTGGGGGGGGGGGGTGGATACAGCACCCGGTTATGTGTGTGGCTGGGGTCTCCCTGTCCTGAATACCGCTCTCTGTGAGGTCCCACCCTAGCCCTGGTCCCTGAGCTCTGGTATCTGACTCTAGGCCTTCCATCCCTGTGATCCAAAGGGTACGTGGAAGCAAAATCAGAAAAGAGATGAGGCTTAATGAGAGCCGGGTGGTGATGGCGCACACCTTTACTCCCAGCGCTCTGGAGGCAGAGGCAGGAGGATCTCTGCGAGTTCGAGGCCAGCTTGGTCTACAGAGAGAGTTCCAGGACAGCCAGGGCGACACAGAGAAACCCTGTCTTTAAAAAAGAAAGTGGCGCCGGGCGGTGGTGGTGCACGCCTTTAATCCCAGCACTCGGGAGGCAGAGCCAGGCGGATCTCTGTGAGTTCGAGGCCAGCCTGGGCTACCAAGTGAGTTCCAGGGAAGGCGCAAAGCTACACAGAGAAACCCTGTCTCGGAAAACCAAAAAAAAAAAAAAAAAAAGAACCGGTCTTCGACGGGCGGTGGTGGCGCACGCCTTTAATCCCAGCACTCAGGAGGCAGACGCAGGCGGATCTCTGCGAGTTCGAGGCCAGCCTGGGCTACAGAGCGAGTTCCAGGAAAGGCAGGGCTACACAGAGAAAAACCCTGTCTCAAAGAAAAGAAACAAAAACTTGTCTTCTGTGAAGGAGCCTAGAGCAAGATGGCTTAAACCCCTCCGCCCACTCACCCCGCTCCGAAAGGCCTTGTGGGAGGAGGGATGGGCCACGAAACAAAGTAAGACACCCGGACCGGCCAACCTCGCCGGAGGGAGGCGGCAGGTGCATTTCAGCGCTGGCAGTTCCCTGGGCGTGAGAGCCGGCCGGCCCCGGTGTCTGTCCCCCGGTGTCAGTCCCCGGTGTCCCCGGTGTCAGTCCTCGGTGTCCCCGGTGTCAGTCCCCGGTGTCCCCGGTGTCAGTCCCCGGTGTCCCCGATGTCAGTCCCCGGTGTCTGTCCCCGGTGTCCCCGATGTCAGTCCCCGGTGTCCCCGGTGTCAGTCCCCGGTGTCCCCGGTGTCAGTCCCCCGGTGTCCCCGATGTCAGTCCCCGGTGTCTGTCCCCGGTGTCCCCCGATGTCAGTCCCCGGTGTCCCCGGTGTCAGTCCCCGGTGTCCCCGGTGTCAGTCCCCGGTGTCCCCGATGTCAGTCCCCGGTGTCTGTCCCCGGTGTCCCCGATGTCAGTCCCCGGTGTCTGTCCCCGGTGTCTGTCCCCGGTGTCTGTCCCCGGTGTCTGTCCCCGGTGTCAGTCCCCGGTGCCGGCCCACCCCGGCAGGCGCTGGGCCGGCGAGGAGCCGAGGCCGCGCCTCGTGTCCCCGTTGGAAAGGGTTTTACGAGGCTGGACGAGCTGGCGGCAACCCAGAAACAGGACGTGGGTCCCTGGCGAGGCCAACACCTGCGGGCGGTCGGCCCCGGCGCCGGCGGAAGCAGCGCGGGAGGGGCCCGGGGGCCGCGGCCTTCCCGGTAACCCGACCCGCAGGAATGCGGCCGCCCCACGGCCCAGCCACCTGGGGACCGTGCCCACAGTCTGCCCCCACACGCCGCCGCCGCCGGGGCAGTCCCCGGCCGCAGCTCCTCCCAGGGGCCGCCTTTGGGTCTTCCCGTTTTATGAAGCTGATGATCGGTTTCTGCCGGTTCAAGTAAAGACCGAAAACGTAAACCAGAAAGTCAAATTTATCTTTGCACTGTGGCAGGGGCTGAGGGCCTGGGGATTCGAACCAGGCTCACGAGACATCAGGTTCCGTGTGGGGGCTGCACGGTCTCCAGCCTGGGCTGTGGCACCCTGGGCAGGTCATTTCCGTCCCCAGACACTGCCCAGGTTAGACAGAAACGAAAACAGCCCTAAGTGGGCACGGTTACTGCCGCAGCCCCTTCCAGGGACAGACGCCGCGCCGGTCTCGGGTCCAACCCAGCGCCCCGAGCCTTTCTCAGGCCTCCTGCCCTTACTGAGGGTTTGAAGGTTGAGTGGGGATATTTTAGGGAGGCTAAGAGCACCCAAGACTCGCCGCTTGCATTTCTCCAAATAACAAAAGTAAACAGTGACTGATGGGGTGGCGAGGTGGCTCTGTTGGTAAAGGGCTTGCTGCCAAGCGGGAGGGCCTGAGTTCAGTCCACAAGACCCACATAATGGGAGAGAACAGACTCCTCAGGCTGTAGTCCTTCCCGGGCCTCAGCATGCTCTCTCCCACAGAAATGCAATCGAGAACACTCAGCCGGGCAGTGGTGGCGCACGTCTGTAATCCCAGCCTGCAGGAGGCAGGCGGATCCCTGAGTTCGAGGGCAGCCTGGTCTACACAGCGAGATCCAGGACAGCCAGGGCTGCACAGAGAAACCCCGGAAAAACAAGGAACTATCCAGCCGTTACTATTCTTCACAGTCTCCCTGTAACTACAAAAATGCTCCGGGCCTGATAGGAAAACAGACTCACAGAAAGGTCCTCAACCAGCTCAAACCGGCGCCGCCTCCAGAGGGCCAGCCCATCCCCCACGGCCAAGGCCAAGGCCCAAGGTCAGGGCGGAGCCTCTGGCGTCCCAGCTCCGCACCGGCCCCGGGGAGAGGCGGGACCGGCCCCCGGGCCGGCTGGCGGCAGGCCAGCAGCAGCAGGCCCAACCCTCGGGGCCCAGCCTGGGATCTGGCCGCGGAACGCCAAGCCCGCTGTGGGGAGGAGTCCCCCCTTGTTCCGGAAGATCCCTCGGCTACAGCAGGGGACACAGCTGGGTGTGCGGTGGCACCCGGTGGAGGCTGAAGTGCGAAGGAAGGAGCTGGCCCGCCACCTGGGTCAGACCGGGGCATGGTGAGGGGTGGGAGGCAGGGGCCTGAGTGTGGGGGCCTGCCCCCCCCCAGCCAGGCCTGGCGGGCCTACTGTACTAATTAGGGGGTAATTACCAGCCGGGATCTTTTCACCAGCTCCACTTGGGACCCACCTCAGGCCCTGGCAGAGCCAGCCGTGAGAATGTGTACCACCATGGCTGCCCAGAGGCTTGCTGGAGCACTCGGGCTGGGACTGGCTTTGTGGGGCACACCTGTCTTCCCACTCAGAAAGTGGAGGCAGGGGATCAGTTCTGAAGTCTAGCCTGAGCTACAGGAAATTCTGGCTCAAAATAAACTCAAAAACAAAAACCACAAGCTCACCCCCAAACGTCACGCCATGGTAAGGTGCCTAGGTTGTCACCCCCAGTACTTGATAAACTGAGGCAGATGATTGCCAGTACACCCTTTGCACGCCGGTCTTTAAGCCCAGCATCGCCAGGCCCATATCTCTGTAAACCCCAAACCAGCCAGGGCTGTAAAGTGAGACCATCTCTAAAAACACAAAACTTGCTGGGTGGTGGTGGCCTACGCCTTTAATCCCAGCACTCGGGAGGCAGAGGCAGGCGGTTCTCTGTGAGTTCGAGGCCAGCCTGGTCTACAGAGCAAGTTCCAGGACAGGTGCAAAGCTACACAGAGAAACCCTGTCTCGAAACAAAACAAAACAAAGCAGAGTTAAAATCAAATGCATATTGGAAGCAAGGCCCAGTGGTAAACATCATCATCCAGGACCCGGGAGGCTGAGGTAGGAGATTGCTGGGAGTCAGTCGGGGCTAGAGTGAGATCCTGTCTCAGAATATCCAAAACCAGGGCCGTGGGAGTGGGGTGGGGTGGGGGGGGTGGGAGTGGGGGTGGGGGGGTGGCCTGACAACTGAGCATCATCCCATCCCAGGGACTTCCACGGGCTGTCCTCTGACCACAGGTGCACATGCGCACACACACGCCCACGCGCACACACACGCCCACGCGCATATGCACACGCACGCACACGCGCACACACACACGGAGTCAAAGGTAAAACGAACAAAACCAAAACCTTCATGCTTCATGCCGAGGTGAAGTGGCTCAGGCCTGCTATTGAAACACTTGGGAAGGTGAGGCAGGGGGATTAACGTGAGTTCATGGTTAGCAGAAGTTAAAGGATGAGACCCTGTCTCAAAACAACCCAAAACAAAGATTAAACTTTTTTTTTTCACGGATAGTAACAAAAAACCCGCTAAAACCGGCGGCTGCCTGGCGCCCTGGCCGGGGACTCCACATAGCGCGGCCTCAGTTTCCCTCTGGGAAGGCAGGGAGGGAGGTTTAACTCCAGAGAGACCGACGGGGCGGGAAGCACCCCGCAGCTCGGGGCTCTCCAAGGGACCCCCGCGGCGGCCTGGTCCCGCCCGCACCTGCCAGCCCGCAGCCTGGCCCCGCGGGGGCGTGGCCTCCGGTGGGCGTGCCCCGCAGGGGGCGTGGCTTCCGTGAGGTCCGGCCCATCACGCCACAGGAGAAGGGCCAGAACTGAGACGAGGGGAGAGACCGATACACGGACGATGGGTCAGAGGGACAGAGAAAGGCAGAGAGAGGAAGGGTTAGGACGGAGGGAGCAGAAAGGGACGGAGTGGGGGAGGGAGAGCGAGAAGGACGGAGACTGAGCCCCGCACTCCACGCCGGGCGTGGTGACCCGGCCAGGCCGCGCTCAGCTCCACCCCCATGACGTCAACCCACAATGCAGCGCGCTGTTGTGCCATGTAGCGAGCGTCGCCCGTGGCAACAGCGGCCGCAGCAGCCACGGCGCGAGGGCGTCCCGGGCCCCGCCCCCTTATGCAAATCTACGACGTCACCTCGGGCCAATGGCGAACGGGGGCGGTGAGCTCATCGCGGGGGCCGAGGCTATAAGGGTGCGCGCGGGCGTCGCGGGCCAGAGCGGCCGGCAGCGGAGCCGGGCAGCACGGGCAGCGGACGGGGGGGCGCACGGGGCCCCCCGGGGAGGCCGCGGCCACTCCCCCCGCCCCGGGGCCGAGCGCGGCGGGGGAGGCGGGGATGGAAACGCCCTTCTACGGCGAGGAGGCGCTGAGCGGCCTGGCTGCGGGTGCGTCGAGCGTCGCCGGTACTGCTGGGGCCCCCGGCGGTGGTGGCTTCGCGCCCCCGGGCCGCGCGTTCCCCGGGGCGCCCCCCGACGAGCAGCATGCTGAAGAAAGACGCGCTGACGCTCAGCCTGGCGGAGCAGGGAGCGGCAGGATTGAAGCCCCGGGTCGGCCACTGCACCTTCCGCGCTGCGCCCCGACGGCGCCCCCGACGGGCTGCTGGCGTCGCCGGATCTCGGGCTGCTCAAGCTCGCGTCGCCGGAGCTGGAGAGGCTGATCATCCAATCCAACGGGCTGGTGACCACCACCCCGACCAGCACGCAGTTCCTGTACCCGAAGGTGGCGGCCAGCGAGGAGCAGGAGTTCGCCGAGGGCTTCGTCAAGGCGCTGGAGGACCTACACAAGCAGAGCCAGCTGGGCGCGGCCACCGCGGCCACATCGGGGGCCCCCGCGCCCCCCGCGCCCGGGGACCTGGCGGCCACTCCGGGGGCCACCGAGACCCCCGTCTACGCCAACCTGAGCAGCTTCGCGGGTGGCGCCGGGCCCCCTGGGGGCGCGGCCACCGTGGCCTTCGCCGCGGAGCCGGTGCCCTTCCCGCCGCCCCCAGGCGCGCTCGGGCCGCCGCCGCCTCCGCATCCACCGCGCCTGGCCGCGCTCAAGGACGAGCCGCAGACCGTGCCGGACGTCCCGAGCTTCGGCGACAGCCCTCCGCTGTCGCCCATCGACATGGACACGCAGGAACGCATCAAGGCGGAGCGCAAGAGGCTGCGCAACCGCATCGCCGCCTCCAAGTGCCGCAAGCGCAAGCTGGAGCGTATCTCGCGCCTGGAGGAGAAAGTCAAGACCCTCAAGAGCCAGAACACCGAGCTGGCGTCCACCGCCAGCCTGCTGCGCGAGCAGGTGGCGCAGCTCAAACAGAAAGTCCTCAGCCACGTCAACAGCGGCTGCCAGCTGCTGCCCCAGCACCAGGTCCCCGCGTACTGAGCCTGAGCGCGGGGCGCATGCGCGGACTCGCTGCGGTGGGGGGGCACCCCGGACTCCTCCGAGACTCGGTGCCCCCGGACTCGACAAGCTGGACCCCCCTTAACTCCGGGTGGGGACCCCGAGCGCACGACCCCCGCCCTCGCGCCACTTCTGTCTCCCCAGCCTCGCGCGTGTTGCACAAGCCCGCGCCCCGGCAGCCCCTTTGTGCCGCCGAGGAGGGGCTCCTAGAGGCGCGCAGCCTCCGCTCTGCCTTTCTTCTTTTGTTTTTATTTTTTCTGCCTTTTGGAAGAGAGAACGGGAGTGTCCGATTCCGCCCTATTTATGTGTCTACTCGGGAACAAACGTTGGTTGCGTGTTGCGTGTGTGTTTCCTTGTGTTGGTTTTTTAAAGAAACGGGAAGAAGAAAAAAAAAAACTCCTCCCCCTCCCCCTCCCCCTCCGCTCTCTCTCCTCCTCTCCCTCCTCCCGACACTATCCCTCTCTTTTTGTTTGGTTTTGTTTTGCTGCGAGTCCACATTCCTGTTCCGTAATTCTTGGTTCGCCGGTTTTGTGTTTTCAGTAAAGTCTTCGTTACGCCAGCTTGGCTGTCCGCCTCCTTCTTCCCCCGCGGGGGCCGGCGGTGGGCGGGGCCTGGCCCGCTCCCATCCCCCCCCCCAGTCCCTTCCCTCCCCCCATCTCCCCCCGCGGGGCGTGGGCGCGGGCCGGGACTGCACATCTGCGGGGCGAGCGGCCACCTAGGTGCAGGCTGCCGGCTCTGGCCTAGGTGGCACCGGGACTTGGCTCCTGGGCTAGCCTGAGCAACATAGCTGGTAGGTGCTTGGGGAAGAGGGTGAGGAAGGAGGTGCGCACACGCGCTTGCCTCTCCCGTGGGGCCTCGGTTCTCAGTTGGAGCTTTTATTCGCCTTTGTTGGTTTCAGGGGTACCTCGGGCCAGGACGGGAAGGTGGCGGCCTAGAGTCCTGGAGCTGCATTTAAATGTCTCCCCGACACGCCCCCCTCTCCATGGCACCTGTTCTCCCTTTTGAGGAAACAATTGTTCAGCAATGTTGAGCTCTTGGCTTGAGGTCACTCAACATAGTCCTGGCTGCCCCGGAACTTGCTTTGTAGACCCAAGCAGGCCTGGGACTGCCAGAGATTCCCCTGCCTCTGCCCCCTGAAGGCTGGGCTTAAAGGCCTGCCCGCACTCCCAGCGAGTCTTGACTCGGGATGCTGGAGATGGGACCCTCAGACCTGGGGCACGTTAGGCAAGGCCCTCCTTCAAGTCAGCCGCAGCCTTCTGCCTTTGACAGTCACTGCCAAGCAGGGAGATTGGAGCCCTAGGGCTCCACCCCCCCAAGTCGTGCACTTTCTGTCAGCCCTGGCCATTGCTGTTGAGACCCTGTGTCTTGGGGTCCCCTCAGGATGTCAGCATGGGTGCTAGGGTCACAGGGGTAAGTCCTAGATCACCCCTTAAGCCAGTAGGTACCTGCCCCCTTGGCTGCAGAAGAAGGGACTTTCTCTCCTGCTGTTCTCCCTGCTCCAACCCACCTGCCCACCCTGAACAGCACGGTTAAGCCCAGCTTGGTGATGCTGGTCACCCCAGCATTTTCCAGGCTGAGGCAGGGGGGTCTTCAGTCCTATACAGCCTGGGCTACAGAGCGAGACGCTGTCTAGAAAAACAAAGGCCAGTAATAATAGAGGAACTTGAGCAGAGGTTTCCTGAGAGCTGGAATGACAAGCTAGGTTTATGTAGTGTGGGATGGAACCCAGGCCTTTGTCCATGCTGGGCGGGCACTCTCCTGAGCTCCAAGCACTGGAGTCCAGCTTGGGGACCATTTGCAGCAGACACATACTCTCTCTTTGCGGGCCTCTATCTTAATGCTATGGAACGGGCGTGTCCTGGTCTAGGTTCTGCCTTCCCCGTCCCTTTCAGAGTGGACGAAGGTTAGTGTGCTGCCTGTTACAGAAGCCGGGCTTGGAGCCCTTTCTCACACAGCGCAGTAGGAATCCGAACTCTCCCTTGGCCTTTGGCATGCGGGGATGCCCGTGCACCGCCAAGTCGACTCTTCCTGCTTTTGTAGTGCTGGATGGAGCTCGGGTCTTTATAAAGAGTTGTCCTGTTGTGTGAGACAAGGTACCCCCATGTAGCCAGGCTGGCCTGGAACGCGCAGAGCTCCGCCTGTCTCTGCCTCCCCAGTGCGGGGATCAAAGGCGTGCGCCGCTGAAGTGGTGCTGATGTTGGCAGTGTTGTTTCTAGTCAGCTGATCTGAGCCAGGCTGGGTACTGCAGCCTGTGATTAAGCGCTCAGGATACAGGCAGCAGGAGGATCATGAGTTCCAGGCCAGCCTGGGCTGCATTGGCAACCCATATCTCAAAACACCAAGGACTTAGTGCCAGATCATGTGCCAAGGGAGCCTGGGCGCTCAGAGCTGGAATGGCTACCCACTACAGCTCTGGCTTCTATTCTCAAGCACTGAGAGGCTGGGTCTGCAATTCAAGTCCATATAGAGATAGGAGCCTCAGTTTCCTGGTCTGTCACACAGGCTAAGGTTGCTCACCAGAAGTGCTCAGAATAGCTAAAGGTCAGAGAGGTGGGTGGGGTGGGGCACAGGGGCTCCTTTCCTCGAGGCTGGACGGCCCTGCAGTCCTTGCTCTGACAGCCCCTGGGCCGGGTAAGTGGTTCTGGCTTGAGCGTGCCATGCACAGGCCAAGGTGTGTGTCAGCCTTGGCCTGTGCAGCTGTGACTCACGCTGGGTGCTAGCCCAGACTGGGGAGGTGGCCCAGAACCTTGGCCTCACTCCACCTACCGCCTCCCAGAGACATGGCTCACAGTCCATGCCTACTTGTTTTGTTTTGTTTTGTGTTTTCGTTTGTTTCTACACAGGGTCTCCCTATGTAGCCCAGGCTGGCCGGGAACTGTAGAGTCCTGGCCTGAACCTCACCGGCACCCTCCCATAAACTCCCAGGAGGTGTGATGACTGCCGTGGGCATAGAGGATCCCCACGTGTCTTTTCATGCCCCACAGGGATGCCGCTAGAATATTTTTGTTGTTTGTTTTTTAAGATTTATTTATGTATTATGTATACAGTGCTCTGTCTGCATGTGTCCCTGCCCAGCAGAAGAGGGCCTCAGAACCCGTTATAGATGGCTGTGAGCCACCATGTGGTTGCTGGGAATGGAACTCAGGACCTCTGGAAGAGCAGCCAGTGCTCGTAGCCGCTGAGCCATCTCTCCAGCCCGCCTCTAGAATATCTTGCGGGCCCGGCAGATACTTCAGGGGGTGACAGACTCGGTCAGGATACGACAAGGGGAGAGGTTGGGGGTCACCTGTATGCTCAGAGCCCTGAGCTTTGGTATAGGTTGTAACCATCACGACAGCTCAGACCCTCCTGTCCAGCCAGGGGCCCAATTCTGCGTTCTAGAACCCCCCCCCCCCTCTGCTGGGGATTGGTCGGAACTCAGCCGTGAGTCATAAAGACACTTGGGTACCAGGGTCCTGAGGCTGGCCAGTGGGGCTGGTGGCTTCAGCTCTGGGGACAGGTGAGTGGGTTGGTGGGGTGCCACTCATCTGTCACCCCGCTCTTGCCAAGAACATCTGGGTCCTCTGGGCTGTGGTAGCTCAGCCCCTCAGAGACAGTTTGGGGTCCCCCAAGCCTTGATGGTACTTTGTCTCTTGGGCACCAACCCTGTGAGCCGAGATAAGATGTGCTTGCCCTGTGTGACTAACAGGGAAACACCGGCTCTCAGATGTGCTCACAACCATCCCCAGCCTGCCATGGTGCCCCTCCATTCCTCCTTCAACCCCCCACAGTCCTGTTTCTCAGTTTCCTTCTTCTGTACCCTCACCAGGTCTTGGGTGGAATGGAGGTTTTTTGTGGTGGTTGTTTTTGTTTTTAAATAGGGTCTCGTGTAGCTCAGGCTAGCCTTGAACTCAATAGGAGAGGGTGAGCGTGATTTTTTTTTATTCTCCTGCCTCCAACTCCTGTGTGCTAGGCTGACAATCGTGCGTTACCACCAATACCCAGCTTTGTAGCCCAAGCTGTCCTGGAACTGACAACAGTCCTCCTGCCTCAGATACCCACATACCTGATTTTATGGGGTGCTAGAGATGGAACATGTAACCTCTCACACTCGTCAGGGCTCTGCTACCTGAGCGCCAGTCCACATGCTAGCTCCTGCTCCCCAGTTCTCAGGGTCTGACCCCGCTTCCTGTGCAGTGACATGCCCGTCACCGGCTGTGGTGACAATTACTGATTGTGAGCCCGCCCACAGCCCCTCCCCGCATGCTGGGGTGTCACAGGCGTCCTCCCACAGATGAGTGTTCTTTTGGATAAAGAGGGCAGTCTGGGTTGCAGAGTGCACAGAATGGGGGCTCAGCTGCTGACCCCATCCTGGCTCAGTGTTGAAGCCAGGGGTGTCTTGAGGGCCTGGGGGACACCGTGACCACTCCAGGACTGAGGACACCCCTGGAACCTGTCCCGAAGGTGAGGGCTGGTGGTCACCCTTGCTGAGTGGACTCAGTGAGCCAGGCTCTGCCGTGGACCCTGTGGTGACCGTGGACAGGTAACTCCAATTTTTGGACTTAGTTTCTTTTCTTTTGCTTTTCACCACACAGGGTGCCATTATGTCAGCCAGGCTGGCCTCGAACTCACAGAAAGTTGCCTGCCTCTGCCTCCTTAGTTCAGGGACCAAAGGCGTGTGCTATCACATGCCTGGCACCGTTTCTGGAGACAGGGTCTCACTGGCCTGTGGCTCACTGAGTCATCAAGGCAGGGTGGCCAGAGGCCCTTGGGACCCTGCCTGTGCCTCTCAGCACTGGCTTATAAACATAAGCCTCAACACCTGTTTGTGTTTTGAGACAGGGCTGTCTTTGAACTTGCTCTGTGGCCCAGGCTGGCCTCAGACTCACAGAGATCGGCTTGCCTCCACACACCCAACATTTACGCATGTTCTCCTGATGAGATCAGGTGCTTGTGTGGTGAGCCTGGTGCTGGAACGCTGCTGTGCCCCAGCCCTGTCTGTCTGTCCTGATAATCATGAAGAGACCTTTTAAAGCCCCCGCTGCAGCTGGCATGGCGGTGCACATGGGACAGCAGGTGGGACTCAGTCCGCTGTCCCCAGCACCCACAGCAGGTGGCTCAGTGCCTGTGACTTCAGCTCCAGGAGCTCTCTTCAGTCTTCCAAGGGCACCTGTGTGCACACAGCATCGTCTTAGTGTTTTTCTACGCTGTGATGAAACTCCATGCCCAAAGCAAATGGGGAAGGAAAGGGGTGTATTTGGCTCACACTTCCACATCTCTGTTCATCATGGAAGGAAGTCAGGACAGGAGCTCACACAAGGCAGGAACCTGGAGGCAGGAGCTGATGCAGAGGCCATGGAGGGGTGCTGCTTATGCTTCCCATGGCTTTCTTACAGCTCCCAGGACCACCAGCCCAGGTGTGTCCCCGCTCCACCAGCCATCACTAATGAAGAAAATGACCATAGACTCACCTCACAGGACATTTTCTCAGCTGAGACTCCTGCCTCTCTGATGACTCAAGCTTGTGTCAAGTTGACATAAACTATCCAGATACATATATAAATAACACTAAAAATAATCTTTAATGAAATCAAATGATGAAACAGGGGCTGGAGAGACGACTCGGGATCTAAGAGCACTGACGGCTTTCCTCGAGAATCCCCTTTGATTCCCAGCACCCACACAGGGGTTCACAGCCATCTCTAACTCCCACCCTGGGGGTCCGACGCCCTCTTCTGGCATCCACAGGCATTGCATACACATAATGCATAGACATACACACATTCACATACATGAAATAAATTGTAAAAATTAAAAACGACAGAAGGCAGGGAGGCATGTGGGGATGGCTCTGGTTAAGAGCAATTGCTCCTCAGTCATGAAAACCAGCTTGGATCCCAGTGCCCAGAGAACAGCCTGAGCAAGTGCACGTGCCTGTAACTGAAGCACGCACACGCGTCTCACACGCACACTCACAGATACACATATAAAACAATATTTTAAAAAGATTATGGCCAGACGTGGTGGCACACGCCTTTAATCCCAGCACTCGGGAGGCAGAGCCACGCGGATCTCTGTGAGTTTACGGCCAGCCTGGGCTACAGAACGAGATCCAGGACGGCCAGGGCTTCACAGAGAAACCCTATCTCACAAAGAAAAATGAGTCAAACCCCTCCAGCTGCGACTGTGGATTAGTCGGCTGTGTCTTCAGCACCGCCGGGTTTCTGTCAGGTGTGTGTCTGTTGTCCCTTGGTCTTCTGATTGTGTCTCTTCTGTGGACACAGCCGTGACAACCAGAGAACTCTCGCCCTTGGCCTGGTGTATTTGTCTCAACTTATTTACATTCAACACGTCCAAGTCTTTGTGTTTAAAGTGCATATTTGGAGGGCTGGGGAGGTGGCTCAGTAGTTAAGAGCACTTACTGCTCTTTCAGAGGACCTGGGTTCAATTCCCAGCAACCACATGGCATCTCACACCTGTCTGTAACTCCAAGATCTGACACCTTTACACAGACACACATGCAGGCAAAACACCAATGCACATAAAATACAAATAAATACATTTCAGCCATGTGGTGGAGTTCCAGGACAGCTAAGGCTACACAGAGAAACCCTGTCTCGAAAAACCAATATATATATTTTGGTTTTTCGAGACAGGGTTTCTCTGTGTAGCTTTGCGCCTTTCCTGGAACTCACTTGGTAGTCCAGGCTGGCCTCGAACTCACAGAGATCCGCCTGGCTCTGCCTCCCGAGTGCTGGGATTAAAGGCGTGCGCCACCACCACCCGGCTAAATATATTTTTTTTAAAGATTTATTTATTTTGTATACAGCATGTATGACCAGAAGAGGGCACCAGATCTCAATACAGACGGTTGTGAGCCACCATGTGGTTGCTGGGAGTTGAACTCAGGACCTCTGGAAGAGCAGTCAGTGCTCTTAACCTCTGAACCATCTCTCCAGCCCAAAAAACCAATAAATATATTTTTAAAAGGTGCATATTTGGTAGGAAAATTAAATTAGGATCATTTGACTATCATTTATCTACGTAGACAGGGTCTTATTCTGTAGCCCAGGCTGGCCTTAAACTTGCACCGATTCACCTGCCTTTGCCTCCCGGGTGTGGACTAAGAGTGTGCTCCCAGGAGTAGTCTAGTTTTTTATTGTTGTTCTGTTTTCCCTTTTTTATGTGCATAGGTACTTTACCTGCATGTATGTCTGTGTACCACATGTGTGTCTGGTGCCTGTTGAGGCCAGAAGAGGGCGTCATATCTGCTGAGACTGGAGTTTCAGACGGTTGTGAATTGTCACGTGGGTGCTGGGAGCCGAACCCAGGTCCTCTGCAAGAGCCACAAGTGCCGCTAACCACTGAGCCATCTCTCCAGCCCCTGACCTAATTTTTTTAATTGATGAGTATTAATTTGCGTGGGGGGGTGCATGCGCCAGGAGTACATGCAGACGCAGATGACTTGCAGGAGCTGCTTACCTCCTCCCACTCAGGAGGTTCTGGGGGTTGAACTTGGGTCCAGCTTGGCCAGTTACTCCCACGCTGAGCCATCTTGCTGGTGTAGACTGAATAGTGTGCTGAGTGTGTGTGCATGTGTGGCTCTGTTCTCACCCTTCTAGACAACAAAGACGTGGACCCCTCCCCCAACCCCGCATGTGTCCTCGGGACCCTCCTGATCCCTGTTACATAAATGTGCAGGTGTTAACTGCCGGTGACACTGGCCTCCTCCCCAGGCACCCCCATCCTGCCTCCTCTCCCCTCCCTCCTCCCCGCTCCATCCTCCCTCCTCCCGTCGGTATTTCTGACAGAACCAGCCCAGAGTGCTGCTGTGCACATTTCTTGGAATGAAGAACTGAAGACAGCCTCCTCGTACAGGCTGACTTCCAAGATTACGCCTTCTTCTGCTCCTTTTCCAACTCTATGACCTTCCAAGGTAAGGAGCTGGCTGGGCCTGCCCTGGGGGGCGGCCTCGGCCACACGTCACAGGGCCGAGGCCGCTGGTGTTGCCCCACTCTGTACCTGCTGTCCTGCGGAACCACAGAGATCTGGATGGCAAGCTCTTCAGTCTTCCCTCACAGGGACCCCCGTGCGTCACCCCCACTGCTCACCCATCCTCCCTTCCGTCACACTTCCACTGTGCACCCAGCCCCGCCCACTCTCCACCCACCTGTCTGTCTGTCCATCCCCCACCTGTCTGTCTGTCTGTCCATCCCCCCACCTGTCTGTCTGTCTGTCCATCCCCCCACCTGTCTGTCTGTCCATCCCCCCCACTCTCCACCCACCTGTCTGTCCATCCCCTCCGCCCACTCTCCACCTGTCTGTCTGTCCATCCCCCCGCCCACTCTCCACCCACCTATCTGTCTGTCCATCCTCCCCCCCACCCACTCTCCACCTGTCTGTCTGTCCATCCCCCCGCCCACTCTCCACCTGTCTGTCCATCACCCCCACCTGCCCACTCTCCACCTGTCTGTCTGTCCATCCCCCCGCCCACTCTCCACCCACCTATCTGTCTGTCCATCCTCCCCCCCACCCACTCTCCACCTGTCTGTCTGTCCATCCCCCCGCCCACTCTCCACCTGTCTGTCCATCACCCCCACCTGCCCACTCTCCACCTGTCTGTCTGTCCATCCCCCCCTGCCCACTCTCCACCTGTCTGTCTGTCCACCCCCCACCCACTCTCCACCCACCTGTCTGTCTGTCCATCCCCTCCGCCCACTCTCCACCTGTCTGTCTGTCCATCCCCCCGCCCACTCTCCACCTGTCTGTCTGTCTGTCCATTCCCCCCCACTCTCCACCTGTCTGTCCATCCCCCCGCCCACTCTGTCTGTCTGTCCATCTCCCCGCCCACTCTGTCTGTCTGTCCATCCCCCCGCCCACTCTGTCTGTCCATCCCCCCCGCCCACTCTCCACCTGTCTGTCTGTCCACCCCCCCATCAAACCCCATCCTGTCACCCCCAGGCTCTGCCACTCAGCTCAGGAATGGCAGCAATGCAGCCGGCAACCCCACTCCAGCTCCCACACCTCGCGTCACCGGGTGGGCCGTGCCTCTCCCAGCCCCAGCAAACCCCTGCTCATCCAGAGAAAGCCGCCAAGCCGTACCCGCAGCCCCAGAGTGATTCCTGTCCACCCAAGGAGCCGGCAGCACCGCCGTCACAGCAGGTGCCCCGCCTTCGGGCAGTGGTGGAGAGCCAGGCCTTCAAGAACATCCTGGTGGACGAAATGGACATGATGGTCTCGAGGGCGGCCACCGTCATCCAAGCCAACTGGAAGGGCTACCGGCTGCGGCAGAAGCTTATCTCGCAGATGACAGCGGCCAAGGCCATCCAGGAAGCCTGGCGTCGCTTCAGCACACGCCGGTTGATGCGCTCCAACAAGCTGACCTTAAAGAAAGCGAAGAGGGAAGAGGAGGGCGACATCCCCTACCACCCTCCACAGCAGGTACGCTTTCATGCCCCAGAGGACCAGCCGCCAGTCATGGTGAGCAAGGAAACTCAGTTCCCATCCAATGACAGCCTGGTCCCTTCGCACACCACAGCAGCCCCAGGTCCCTGTATCAGCAGAGTCCACAGGGGTGGCCTCCTGCCACAGCAGCCTGTGACTGGCAGACCCACAGGTCCCAAGTATCCACCCTGCATGCTGACCAAGACTGTCAGGAGCTCCTGTCTCATCAGACACTTGGAAGGGGACAGTGTGAAGAGCAGGCATGTGGCTTCCAAGACCATCAGATTGGGGACCCCAGAGTCAGCAGCAGCGGGGAGATGTATCCAGGCCATCCATGGATCCATGAAGACCCAGACCCATGTCCACACTGAAGCATGTGTCCCTAAGGCCCCACCACATACGTATCCAGTCAACAAGACCCCTACCAAGGTGTGTCCAGTGGCTCCCGCCCCTAAGTCCCCAGCCACAGTGGCCACGGCACCCAAGAGTGTGCTGCAGACGTGCCCCACATCCCCAGCAACGGTCATGAAGATGCAGACGTGCCCCACATCCCCAGCAACAACGGTCATGAAGAACCTGCCAGTAACCTGCCCGACTTCCCAGGTGACCAGGCCCCTGGCTCACGTACGACCCAATCCTTCATTCTCTAGCACCACACCACATATGCGGCCTGTGGTCCCCACGGCCAGGGTACAGCCCCCAGGGTGTGCTGTGACCTCCACAATCAAGGCCTCACCACGCCCGCGGGTTCCCATCAGTAAGTTCCCACTACAGACTGGCCCTGGTCCCATGATGGCAAAGACGTCACCCCAGATGCGTCCAGTCACCAGAAGTCAACCTCAGCCATGTGCAGCATCTACTTCGTCCAAAACCTCCACTCAGGCGAGCTCCACAGTCAAGGCCTCACCTCAGACTCGCCTGGCGGCGATGATAACCAAGACTCCAGCTCAGATACGTTCCGTGGCTGCTGTGCTCAGGACCCTGTGTCTGGTCCCTACAGTGGCAGCCTCAAGTCCCAGGGGTTCACTCCAAACTCCAGTGGTTGCTGGCATTCCCAACACCCCATCCCAAGTCCATCTGAACAGCCAAAACACCAAGGTCACCGTGAGCACCAAGCAGACCACCGCAGTGGTCAAGGTGGCCTCTCAGTCATACTTGGACGAGGAGAAGGGCAGGTGTGGACCCCACGGACATCTAGACTTTGTGGCTCCTAAACCTCCAGCCAAGTCTCCATTGGAAGCAGAAAAGATGAAGCCTGGGCCCCCGAGGGTACCCAAGAAGGAAGCAGCTCCCAAGACTAATGCGACCATTGTCACCAGGGCTCTGTCGTGGACAAAAGTGACAGAAGACAGGAGCAAGCCTCTGACTCAGATCCAGCAGAAGGCGGAGGTTGTGAAGATCCACTCCAAGGTGTACATGCCTGAAGAGATGACTGTGACCCTGTCCCAGGCCCAGCTGGCTGTCCCCCTGACCAAGGCCTCCTCTCAAGTCCAGCCACCCACCAGCCACCCCCGAGCCCCTCCATCCTCACCGGTCTCTAAGGCGGTGTCACAGTCTCACCCGATATCCGGGCTGGCCACGGGCCTACTTGAGGGACGACGTCCACCCGTCGGTCCCTCTGCCACCCTGTCCTCGCCACTGGCCGCACACCTGATGTCACTCACAGCCCAGCTCCAACCTGCTAGCGAACAGACCAGATCTGTGTCAAGAGCTCATCCGGCTGCGTCGTGTTCAGCCACAGCCTCCCCGAAAGCACGCTCCCCGGGGATGACCTTTGTCCCTCCTGAAGGATACCCAAACACATGTCCACTCACCCCCACTTCCCAGCACCACATGACCTCTCACCCGACCAAAAGCTCACCGCAGCTGCGTCTACCTGCTGAGCATTCGAAAACCACGAACACCAAACCCGCCAAGGCCACGTGCCAGGTCTGTCCGCCCACTAAACTCAGCAAGGCCCCATCCCTGGCCCATCTCATCACATGTCTGGCCAAGGTTCCATCCCAGGCCCATCTGCCCATGGGGCTGGCGAAGACCCAGCCTCAGGCCCAGCTGGCCTCTGAAACGGCCAAGTGCCTCTTGGCTGCCCACCCTGCCACTGACCTCAGTAGCAAGACCCAGTCGCAGCCACTCCTAGGCACGACCAAGACACCTGTCCAGTTCTGGCAACATTTTGGGACACTTAACACCGGACCCCGTGCCAAGCCGGATGACAGGAACATGACCCAACCCCAGCTCCATAGCCATGCACAAAACAAGGCCACGCAGAACCCACGCTCAGTGGCCACAGATATCCAAGGCATGCTGGTACCTCTGCTGACTCCCACTGGACACCCTGTATGCAATGCAGAATCCTGGGGTGACAGTGGACAGGCCCAGTGCCCAGCACCACCCCCTGTGCCCAGCCAGGCAACGCCCTGCCATGAAGACCTGGCAGCGTCCATTGCATCCCTGTGTGCAGACCTGGTGGCCATGCTAGGCTCCCCTGAGGACCTGCGGACACTCCTGGCCAAGACGCTTTCTCAGGGGGAAGTAAGGACAGCGCTGAGCCAGGCTCTGTCCCGGGAAGTATTAGGGCCCTCTGTGGTCAAGGCCCTGCCTCAAGGCATGCTGGGAATGGCATTGATGAAGGTGTTGTCATGGGGTGAACTGGGCATCACCCTGTCCCGGGCCCTGTCCCGTGGTGAGCTGCGTCCGGAACTCAGCAAAGCCACTCAGGGCAAGCTGGCTGAGGTCCTGTGCAAGGCCTTGACAGAAGACGAGAGAGCCGCGCTCAGCCAGGCTCTGTGCCAGGGTGAGCTGGGCGCTGTGTTCACTCAGTCCTTGGCCCAGATGGCCCAGAGAACGGGTGCCTTCCTCCCCAAGGCCACCTCGAAAATGGTGGGGAGCCGGATGACCACGGCACCTGCCCCAGTGGAGGTGACTTGCAGCGGGAGCCTGTCGGTGGCGTGGGGACCTGCGCTGGGTCCCGTACGAGCACGGTGTAGCAAGGTCAGGCTACCATGGGAGGGCTTGCCCTGGGGACAGCCCGATGGGATCCTGTGGGGTAAAGGGGATGGGGCCACCTTGGAGGGGTCACCCTGCTCGCCAGAGTCCCCCATAGGCTCCTTTTCTGGAGGGAGGGTTACCAGCACTTACCAGTGTCCCCTACTCAAAGTACCCACACTGTCCTGGGAGAGGGGTTCGGGACTCTGTTCTGGTCTGTACCTGAAGCCATTGGATTTTGACCCCATGGCATGTGGTGAGGGTCCCCATGTCCCCAAGCGATCTTCCCAACAGCCCCCTCCTTGTCCGTGGCAGCCCCTTGTTGCCAATGGTGCGGGCCCAAGCAGTAACCAGCCATCGGTGACCAGCAGCACAGCCCCGAGCTCCCGCCAGCAACCCCTGGCCAGCAGGGTGCCCCACCCATGGGCGTCATACCGAGAGGGCAACATGGAGGCCAGCAAACATTCGAGTGGCGTGGGCAGTGGGAAGTACCCCATGTCCCAGCAACCCACCGCCTCCCAGGGCGGTGTGTGCCAGTGTCCGAACCTGGGGGCACACAAGATGTCTCCCTGTGGCCATTGCTCTTCCATAGTCAAGAGTCGAACTCCATCACCGAAGCAGAATGTTAGGCAGGTCCTGCCATTGGGTCATAGACTGGCCAATAAGGAAATAGTCACCGTAGTGAGGAATATAGTAGATGAACAGCACAGTGGCCAGTCATCATCAGTGTACCTAAATCCTAAGCTGCAAAAGGTCTCCAGCACACCCACCCCCAAACAGGAGAGGCATCCCCAAGTATCCTTGACCCCATCCCATCCCCAGGGGCAGGCCACCGGCCACCACATATCCCTTCTGGATGAGTTACTAGCCGCGTTCCCGCAGCACCCAAAGATCGTGTTAGCCAAGAGCTATCCCAGGGGATCAGTTGTCCACAGCCAGAACGGGGACTCTCACAGTTCCCTGCAGAGCGGCACCTCGGCCAGCGCCTCCACACCATCCAGCCTGACGCCTTCAGAAGTTCTGGATGGTCGCGGGGAGGATGACTTGCAGGACTCCCAGCCAGTGTTGAAAAGGTCCAGGGAGGTGAGGCACAGGCCCCAGGGGCTGCTGGAAAGAACATGGCCAGCTGGTTCTCAGCACACGGTCCCCCAGTTCCAACGGCCACCCCTGGATCTTGGGCCCCTCCTCTTCCAGAGCACCAGCCTGAATGTCCACTGGGACTCAGATAGTGGGTCTGACTACAGTACTGGAGACCTATCAGAGGGACTGTCCCAGGACACCACTGCACCCTGGCGTGGGAGGAGTCACCAGATCCATGCTAGAGATCTGCAGCTCAGGGGGGTCCCTCAGCTGGATCCCACCCTACCCCAGGACATACTGGCTGATGGGAGAGCCCCAAGCCCTGGCCCGGCACCTAAAGCCAGTGAGGTGTCACCATGCCTAAGTCAACCATTAGAGGCCACAGGGCTGTGTCCAATCTCATCTCAGCCTGCAGGGTCCAGTACTATGTCCCCAAGCCTGACCCAGCCATCCACGGACACTGGGGTAGCCCCAAGCCTGGCCCATCCATCTGTGGCCACTAGGGTATTCCCAACTTTAGCCCAGCCATCTATGGATACTGGGGTATCCCCAACACTGATGGAACCATTGATGTATTATGGGTTACCTACAAATTTTAGTCAGCCATTTCTGTACTATCGAGGGTCCCCAATCTATACCCAGCCACACATGGCCTCTGAGGTACCCTCAAACTTTACCCAGACCTCTGGTGCTAATGTGGTGGCCTTAGGCAAGCAGCCAGTGAGCCCTGGGTTAGCTTCAAGCCAGCCCCAGCTGTGTGCCACTACCCACGTGGCCGCAAGGGCCGCTCAGTCACCTGACAACAGCTGGCCACCAGATGGCTCCTCTTCCATGCCCCGACATGGTACAGGGCATCCAGACTCCATCCAGACATCTGTAGCCACTGGGGTGTCCCCAGACTTTTTCCACCCATTTGTGCCCTGCAGCATGCCCTCAAATTTCACCCAACCTTGTGTGGCCACGATTGTAACCTCAAACTTTGTGCAGCCACCCATGCCCCACAGCATGTCACCAAGCCTAGCCCAGCCTTTTGTGGTCAGTGTTATGTCCCCAACTCTGGCCCATGCATCTGTGGCCAACAGGGCACCCCCAAACCTCGGTCAGCCAACCACAGCCAGTGGTGTGGTTCCTGGAGTGCTCCAGGTGCCCCTGGCCAACAGGGTGTCCCCCAGTCTGAGATCCCCACTTCTGGCTCCCAGGGTCTGCTCTAATCTTACCCAGGCATCTGTGGCCAGCTTGGGCACCCTGAGCCTGTTGCCACCCACTGTGGTGTGTGGTGTGGGTCGAGGGAGCAGCAAGCCAGCCTTTGGCCCGCAGCAGCACGCACACCAGGACAGCAGTACAGTTCAGAGCCAGCACTCCATGCTCCACCTAGGTGGGTCCTGTCCGTGTGCGATGAGTAGGCTAGGCCAGCCATCCCTAGGAGTCTGTGGCAGCCCAGGGGACAGACTCATGACAGGTACCAGGAGCCAGCCCAGCCCTCGGGATCCTACGGTCTACTCTGAGCTGACACAGGCCAGCAAGGGGCCCCCAGGTCCCGTAGCTCAGTCCATGGCGCCTGCAGAAGATGGTGGCTTGACCTTAGGGGCCAGTGTCCCATGTCAGACTTGGTTCAGAGGCATAGCCCCAGGGATGTCCCAGGGGCCCGTGGCTACTAGACTGTTTCTAAGTATGCGCCAGGGGGACAATCCACCCCCCATGGCTGCCTGGGCCTTGCCAGTGGATGCCCCGTGGACTCACGAACAGGCTGTTGTGACTGCAGGTGTGGGCCAGGGCCCATGCCCAGCTGTGATGCCCAGTATGCAGGTCCCATCTGAGTTCTTCCCAAACCAGCTGGGTACCAGCTTCCCTCAGACCTGTGCCTCTCTTCCTGTCACATTAGACCCCCAACTCCTCTCTATGGCCACTATGGTTCCACCCAGTTGCCAATATGCAGGTATGGTCATTCCAGATGCAGCATTGGGTGCTGTCGGTGGGGGTTTGGCCCAGAATTCTGTAAATGGAAAAGTGCCCTCGGCACTGGCCCCCAAGCCTGTGGTCGAGAATCTCAACCTTTTTCAAGGATCTGTGATCAGGGGCGTAGGAAAGAGTGTCCCCCCAGAGTCCATGGTGGATGGCGTGGCTCAGAGTGTCCCCCCAGAGTCCATGGTGGATGGCGTGGCTCAGAGTGTTCCCCCAGAGTCCATTGTGGATGGCGTGGCTCAGAGTGTCCCCCCAGAGTCCATGGTGGATGACGTGGCCCAGAGTGTCCCCCCAGAGTCCATGGTGGATGGCGTGGCCCAGAGTGTCCCCCCAGAGTCCATGGTAGATGGCATGGCCCAGAGTGTCCCCCCAGAGTCCATGGTGGATGGCGTGGCTCAGAGTGTCCCCCCAGAGTCCATGGTGGATGGCGTGGCTCAGAGTGTCCCCCCAGAGTCCATGGTGGATGGCGTGGCTCAGAGTGTCCCCCCAGAGTCCATGGTGGATGGCGTGGCTCAGAGTGTCCCCCCAGAGTCCATGGTGGGTGGCGTGGCTCAGAGTGTCCCCCCAGAGTCCATGGTGGGTGGCAAGGCCCAGAGTTTCCCCCCAGAGTTCATAGTGGATGGTGTGGCCCAGAGTGTCCCCCCGGAGTCCATGGTATGTGTCAAGGCCCAGAACCTACCTCCAGAATCAGTGGTTAGTGATGAGGTTGAGAGCTCCCATCAAGATTCTGTGGCCAGTGACATGGCCCTCAGCCTCCCTCCATGTTCTGTGGCCAGCGGCGTGGCCCCCTGTCACCCTCAAGAGATGGATGGTAGGAGGGAAAAGCTGAGCCCAGCTGTAGAACCCTTGCCAAGCTCCCATCCCCTAGGCCCACACCTGGGTTTTGTGGCCAGTGGGACAGTTCCTAGTATGCCTCTGGGTGCCGTGGCAAGTGGCGTGGCTCCAGGGTCCATGCTGGTAGGAATCAGTCCACGTCCCTATCAGGCAGCACAGTCTGGGGAGCACTCCCGGGTCTCCTTCCTGGCACCCCATGTCACCAGCCTGGCCAGTGCCCACTCACCAGCCCCCGCAGTCCAGAGAGTGTCCCAGGACCAGCAACGTTTGCCCACAGTTTTGTCAAGTACCTCACAGTTTAGTTCAGACCCTGGGCTGACAAAGCTCGTCGGTGTTGATAACCCGACCTTGCTGAAGCCAAGACAAATCCACAACACAGTGTCCTCAACACTGGAGCCTGGCATAGACCCTGTCAAATCTGAAGGTCTCAAAATCATCTCCTGGACGGGCCTTGGTGCCACGGGAGGTGAGTGTCATGAACGTGAGACCCTGGCAGCTGAAAATATTCTCAAAGACCAAGTGGCCTTGTTGGCAGAGGAGGCTTCCAGGCGAGCCAGAGGTATCACTCTTGTCCCTGTACAGGCCCCAAGTTTAGGTGAGCACCCCACAGCCCACAGCATCAGCCCTGTGCAGCCCTTACCCTCAGAAAGCCCTGCTTCCGGGACCCCGAGCCTGCAGGAGGCCCCTGTGGCTGACCGTTCAAGCCAGCCTCCAGCTTCTAATGCAGTCATGGGCCCACCACAGCTGAGTCCCAACACTGATGGGCCAGCCAAGCTGCCTCCAGGGTCAGAGGTCAGCACAGGAAGCCCCAGCATTCTCCAGAGCTCAGGGAGGACTGATTCAGCACCTCTAACTAAAAATAGGACTCCCAGGTTCTCCCAGACGGGAGAACCTCAGAACCACACCAAGAGTAACCACCGAGAACCCCTCACCGCTAAAAATTCCCACCGCTCCATTCAGAGTAGCCTTGTCTCAGAACTTCTAGAAGGTTCCATGGACAGACTGCTACCCTTCAGTAGTCCACTGAAGAAGAAATCTCAGGTCTCATTGGACAGTCACAAGCGGTCCTCGGGTACACCCATGGTGGGCATCACTCCCGTCATCCACGTGGGAGATGGGAGGGGACAGAAAACAGCCTCAGGAGTTCAAGGGGTGTCTCTGGCCCGTGAGTCATCACCAAATGGCTCCCAGACACCTCTTCTTGGTGAGGCTGCCCACGACACCAGACACACTGGCCAGCCAAGAACAATGCTGACCCTCACCACACACCCAGGCCAGAGGCCACCTTGTGTCACAGGACCTGGAGTTAGCTATGACGAGGGTTCCCTAGTCCCCACCACAACCCATGACCAAAATGTTCAGTATGTCACCAGCCCTGAGACTGGCTATGACGGGACCTCCCAGATCCCCACTGCACCTCACAGCCACCAACACCAGCACGTCACAGCTCCCAAAACTAGTTTTGATGAGGGGCCCCAGAGAGTCCCCACCATGCTCTATGGCCACAGACTTCAATATATCACAATGCCTAAAACAAGCCTTGATGGGAGTTCCCAGGTCCCCACCACACCCCATCTTGTTACACACCCTAAAACTGGCCATAATAAGATATTCCCACCCCCCACTGTACCCCAGGGCCCTGTGGATGCCGGCCCGGCTGCTGGCCAGTCATGGAATTCCAAAGTCCCCAACGTATCGGTCAGAGCCACAGCACATGCTGAGGCACCCCGAGGCACATGGCATCCCAGCAGGGGCCCCAGGCCCTGGGAGCCCCCAGGGGCAGAGGCAGCGCTGGACCACAAGCCCTCAGCTGAGCTGCTGGTATCAGTGCGTGCCATGGAGAAGGTTGTCGTCCAGGCCATCATCACCATCCAGGCGTGTGCACGTGGTTATTTGGTGCGTCGCACTGTGAAGGTGTGGCATCAGTGGGCCACCATCATCCAAGCGACATGGCGTGGCTACCGTGTACGACGGAACCTGGCAAGGCTGCTCAGGGCCACCACCATCATCCAGGCTGCCTGGCGTGGCTACTGCACTCGCCGGGCCCGGGCCCACCAGGTGTTGCTCCCTACCATGTGGCCGGGGCACAGTGGCAGAGCCCAGGGGAACTCTGACACCAGGAACAGCTCCGAGCACCGCTGCTTTCTGTCCTGTCAACCCGATGTCTGCAGCCTCTGCCAGGCCCTGGGTCCCCGGGCAGAGAGTCCGCCCAGTGTTGTGATGCTTGTGGGGTCCCAGCCACGCACCTGCCATGTGTGTGGCCACACACTGTCTACTCGCGTGGTGCAAGGCTTTGGCCAGGGCGTCTCAGTCCAGTCCGGCTCTCGTTGGGCATCGGTGCCCCGGCCGCATCCCCTGCTCAGCCAGCAGCACAGAGCAGCCACCCTCATCCAGGCAGCCTGGAAGGGCTACAGGACCCGCCGTCAGATCAGCCAGCAACAGTCTGCAGCCAAGACGGTCCAGGCCACGTGGAGGGGACATTATACCCGCAGCTGCCTCACCACGGATGCGCTCTTGGGAACAGGAAGCCCATGGGCCAACTCCAGGGACACTTCACGCCGTACCTCGAGGGCTTACTCTTTGCATTGGCCTGGTGTCTAGGCCCCTGGCTGTGGGCAGAGGCACCATGGTGGCCATGTGGCCCCATGGGTCTCGTGAATAAAGAGCGCTACAGCCCACCTCTGGTCACGTCTTGAATTAAGAGACAAGGGGAAGTCTAGATCACGCCAGCGGTAATGAGTCCCAACGGCTCCAGCCCGTGTGGGATCTGTAGCCAGGGTTGGAGAGCCTTATTGTTTGGGGGCCACAGGTCACTAGCGTGAAATCTTGTGTGTCACATGGCTAATGACATGAAGTATCTGGGGCTAGTGAGATGACGCAGCTGGGAAAGGTGCCTGTGTGTGTGATCGTTGGGACCCACATAATAGGGAAACTTCCACGATTTGTCTTCTGACTTCCCCGAGCACACACACAAACACACACGCATACATACACACACACACACACACACAAACACACCCGCATACATACACACACACACACACACATGCACACAAACACACACATACACATAGCACACATTCATACACACACACACACACACACACACACACACACACACCCCTGCGTTTGGCTGGGTGTAGTGGTATCTGTCATCTCAGCATTGGGTGGCTGAGGCAGGAGACTCACCAGGAGTTTTCGGCCAGCCTGGGCTACATGGTGAGACCTTATCTCAAAACCAAAGATGAACAACAAAGTGAGAGCCGCCCGGCGGCCCACCCTCGGCTGGAGAGTACCTCCTTCCGAAAACGCTGGGAGGTTCTAGCTGCACCCGCTGGTGGGGCGAGCCCATGGGAGCCGAAGGCATTGCCGGCCCGCTTGGGGGAGCCTGGAAGCCAGAGACGGTATTCCGCTCCGGCTTGGGTCACCCAGTGACCACACAGGGGTGTCCCAACGACCACACAGGGGTGTCCCCAGCGGCCATACAGGGGTGTCCCCAGCGGCCACACAGGGGTGTCTCCAGGGACCACACAGGGGTGTCTCCAGGGACCACACAGGGGTGTCCCAGCGACCACACAGGGGTGTCCCCAGCGGCCACACAGGGTTGTCTCCAGCGACCACACAGGGGTGTCTCCAGCGGCCACACAGGGGTGTCTCCAGCGGCCACACAGGGGTGTCCCCAGCGGCCACACAGGGGTGTCCCCAGCGGCCATACAGGGGTGTCTCCAGGGACCACACAGGGGTGTCTCCAGGGACCACACAGGGGTGTCCCCAGCGGCCATACATGGGTGTCTCCAGGGACCACACAGGGGTGTCCCCAGCGGCCATACAGGGGTGTCCCCAGCGGCCACACAGGGGTGTCCCCAGCGGCCACGCGCCGGTGTCCCCAGGGCAGCGTGGGGACGGACCGGCGCCCTGCGCTCCCGCGCTGGCCGGCAGGGAGCGCGCGCGGGCGGCGGGCGGGCGGCCGCGCACCTGCAGCCTGGGCGGTCCGCAGGAATGGCGGGTTCCCGACTGCTGCCCCTGGCGCTCGGCCTGCTGCTGCTAGTGAGACCCGGCGACTCCTCTGCTGTCCTCGTATTCTCAGGTAAGCTGGTGGAGGGAAATGGCGTGGCTCCGGGGGACAGCGGGGCTGGGGACACCGAGCTCAGACCCTTCTCTCCCCTTCCCTCCCAGACACCCCTCAGGGCCACCTGAGCTGGGACAGAGGCCAGGGACCTCCCCGACACTTCGGGGGCTCCAAGCACAGCCCGCCCCACCCAGCCGCGGAGAGGACACACACACACTCCCCTGATGGTGGGAAGGGCCAGGGGTGGAGAAGTTCGTGGCCCCGACTTAATTCCCTCCGTCTGTTCCCGAAGACAGCTGAGTTTATTGTAGAGGACGGTTTCATTCCCAAAGTCCCACATTTATCCCTGGAAGCCCAGGCTGGCTCCAGCCCGTGAACGACCGTATCAGGGCTGACTGACATGGCTTGGCACCTCCAGCCTTCCATCTTGGAGACCGGGGGAAGCCCAGTGCCAGGCACACTGCCCAAAGCACCTCTTCTCCCTTTCTAAGTTTCCAGTAAATCACGAGGACCTGCTCAGTGCCAGGTACTCAGTAGGGTTGGTGTTTGCCGTCACCTCCTCTTTCCAGACTCGCTTGTTTCATCAGCTCACTGAGAACCTTAACTTACTCCCAAGTTCTGGTTTGGCTTGGGGTCCACTACGGTACCTGAGTCAACTTCACTTCCCCAGAAATTTCTCAGTGTGGACTCACATTCCTAGATTCCTTTGCTGAAGGGCCTGGGAGACTGAGGTGTGGGAGGGGTCGGCTCGGCATACCCTCCCTGCACCCAGGGTCAGCACCTAGATGTTATTTCCTCATATCTGCTGTGTGGGGCGAGGCTAGGAGGAAGCAGAGCGCTCACCCCGGCAGAAAGGACAAGGGAGGGGCAAAGCGGCTAATGAGTGACCTTGTGCCCCGCACACCTGGTTGGAGCCACCTGGACCTGGGAAGGAAGTCATGGCAGGAGGTAGACCAGGAACTATTTCCACAGCCTCTGAACTCCTGTAGGGATGGGATGTGAAACCGGGGAGCCTGGAGGGACAGTGAGTCAGACACCCGAATCCTGGGATTGGCAGAGGCTGGGGTGTGGCTCAATGGTAGAGCGTGTGGCCAGCGTTTGGGGCAGAGTTCAAACCTTAGTCTAATTCAGGGCTCCCCAGTTCTCAGGGCTCTTGAAACCTCTGGACAGGGGTGGTACCTGCTCCCCGGGGCAGAGCTGAGTAATGCTTCAACTTTCTGAGACTCAGTTTCCCTCTCCTGTGAAGTGTGACAGATGATCTGTACCTGAGTCGTAACAGGTAGCACTCTAGCCCAGATCTGAGCGTCAGGCAGGGTTGTCTTAGGTGTCCAGAGCGCTTGCAAGCTCAGCTCAGAGCACTGTTGTTAGCCAAAGGTAAGAAAGCAAGTCCTTGACGTGCTGGGCAGGGCTGAGATCAAAGTGAGCAGCGCCTCCCACCCTCCTGCCTGCTGCCCAAGCTTCATAGACACACACACCCATCTTTTTTTTTCAGGTGTTGCTTTTACAGTATTCTGGGAGAGCACAGTAGCACAGTCTACCCCAAGTCCAGAGACATCGCCTGCCCCCTCCACCCCAAGTCCAGAGACATCGCCTGCCCCCTCCACCCCAAGTCCAGAGACATCGCCTGCCCCCTCCACCCCAAGTCCAGAGACATCGCCTGCCCCCTCCACCCCAAGTCCAGAGACATCGCCTGCCCCCTCCACCCCAAGTCCAGAGACATCGCCTGCCCCCTCCACCTCAAGTCCAGAGACATCGCCTGCCCCCTCCACCTCAAGTCCAGAGACATCGCCTGCCCCCTCCACCTCAAGTCCAGAGACATCGCCTGCCCCCTCCACCTCAAGTCCAGAGACATCGCCTACCCCCTCCACCTCAAGTCCAGAGACATCGCCTGCCCCCTCCACCCCAAGTCCAGAGACATCGCCTGCCCCCTCATCCCCCACTCCAGACTCCAGCTCCACAGGTACAAACCCAGGCTCAGTCTCCCCAGAGCCAGAAACAGCCTCTCTCCCCAGCTCTGGCTCTCCAGGTTCTGAGCTGAGCACCATGTCCCAGTCCACGAACTCGGTTCTGCAAGGGTCACCCACTGTGTCCAGTCCTGGCCAGGGTAAGTGTAAGGATTGGGGGTGTGGGCTGGAACCTGACTGCAGTTCTGGCACCAGTCAGCAGGGGGCGACACAGCCCTGGGAGTGTGTGGCCAGCGTCGACCCACAAGCCACCTTACCCCACTGTCTGTGCCCTTATTAACTTGCTGGCGTGTGCTGGCTCCTGAGGACACAGCTATGTGCAAGGAAAACGGGTTGCTTTATCTAGTTGTAGCTGTGTGCAGGGCCCAGTGCCGTATTCCTGACACCAGGAGGAGGTGGCAGGGGGATTACCTCAAGTTTGAGACCAACCTGGGCCACATGGTGGGTCCCATATTAAAAAAAGAAAAGCAGCCGGGCGGTGGTGGCGCACGCCTTTAATCCCAGCACTCGGGAGGCAGAGGCAGGCGGATCTCTGTGAGTTCGAGGCCAGCCTGGTCTACAGAGTGAGTTCCAGGAAAGGCGCAAAGCTACACAGAGAAACCCTGTCTCAAAAACCAAAAAAAAAAAAAAAAAAGAAAAGAAAAGAAAAAAAATCCACATGAAGTTATATACTTGCTTATAAAATAACAACATAGGCCCGGGAGTGTGGCTCAGGGTGGAGCCCCGCCTAGAATCCCCAGTGAGGGGCTGGGGGCGTGGTCAGGGTGGAGCCCCGCCTAGAATCCCCAGTGAGGGGCTGGGGGCGTGGTCAGGGTGGAGCCCCGCCTAGAATCCCCAGTGAGGGGCTGGGGGCGTGGCTCAGGGTGGAGCCCCGCCTAGAATCCCCAGTGAGGGGCTGGGGGCGTGGTCAGGGTGGAGCCCCGCCTAGAATCCCCAGTGAGGGGCTGGGGGCGTGGCTCAGGGTGGAGCCCCGCCTAGAATCCCCAGTGAGGGGCTGGGGGCGTGGTCAGGGGTGGAGCCCCGCCTAGAATCCCCCAGTGAGGGGCTGGGGGCGTGGTCAGGGTGGAGCCCCGCCTAGACTCCCCAGTGAGGGGCTGGGGGCGTGGTCAGGGTGGAGCCCCGCCTAGGATCCCCAGTGAGGGGCTGGGGGCGTGGCTCTGCCCAGGGCTGACCCCTTCCTCTCCCCAGATGCAGGCAGCCTGTGGATCTCCACATCGCACAGGAACCCGGGCGTGGTGATTGCCGTGTGTCTGCTTGTGTCTGTCTTGCTCATTGGCTCTGCGTTCACTGCCGTCAGACGCTGTCATCGAGATGCGCCAGCTTTTCATAATCTGGATACAGTGTCCATGGTGAGACGGGTGTCCTCAGGGTCGGGGCAGCTGTCTTCTCGTCAGACATTCCCCTGCGGTAAAGCCCTGTGGTGCTTAACGCTAACGCGTGTGTTCCTCTTCTAGGGCAGTGTGAGCCAGAGGCTGCCGTTTGCAGACCGCCTACAGTCCTGACTGTCAGAGGCCTAGAGATGAGCTGGGGGGTAGCGCCTGGGGAAACAGTCGCTGGAAAAGTCCCACAGTGCTGACCTGGGGATATGCCTGCGGCAGGAGGATGGCTTGAGCCCAGGAGTTTCGGGCCAGCTTGGCCCACACATCTAGTACTCAACTCAAAAAATCAAGTCAATCCAGGGGTGATGGAGCATGTCTGTCATCCCAGAACCTGGGAGGTAAAGGGAGGACCGGGTGTTCAAGTCCACCCTGGGCTACATAGGGGGTTTGAGCCAGCCTGGGCTACGTGAGACTGTCTTAAAAAAGGACAATAATTGAGGGGGCTGGAGAGACGGCTCAGCAGTTAACAGCGCTGGCTGCTCTTCCAGAGCAGAGCTTGGTTCTCAGCACCCACACAGCAGCTCACAGCCATGTGGGACTCCAATTCCCGGGGACCCGACGCCCCCTTTCGGCCTCTCCAGTCACGAGACTCGCAGGTGATGGATACACAGACATACTTGCAGGCAAAACACATAAAAAAATGAATGAGTGTAAACTAAATAAATGAAGTCCTTGGTATTCATGGGTGATTCATGTGACCAGTAGTGACTAAGCGTCTGTACCAGAGTCACACTGGTGACCCTGTGTCTGCTCTCGGGGTGACAGCTGGAGATGGGCGAGCACTTCAGAGGAAGCCACGGGGCAGGAGGCAGGGTGTTCTCCTCACCCCAAGGGCTTGTGTGACCCAGTGTCCTGGCAGGACAGAGGCCACTCTCTAAGGATGACCCAAGCCTAATGGGAAGCAGCTGGGGAAAGCCACAAACCCAAATCACCGTAGGAGGCTCACACCGTGCGAGCAGAGGCCCTGTGGCAGAGAGGCCCACACAGTACGTACAAAGGCCCTGTGGCAGAGAGGCCCACACAGTACGTACAAAGGCCCTGTGGCAGAGAGGCCCACACAGTACGTACAAAGGCCCTGTGGCAGAGAGGCCCACACAGTACGTACAAAGGCCCTGTGGCAGAGAGGCCCACACAGTACGTACAAAGGCCCTGTGGCAGGAGAGGCCCACACAGTAGAGCAAGGGCCCTGTGGCAGAGAGGCCCACACAGTACGTACAAAGGCCCTGTGGCAGGAGAGGCCCACACAGTACGTACAAAGGCCCTGTGGCAGAGAGGCCCACACAGTACGTACAAAGGCCCTATGGCAGAGAGGCCCACACAGTAGAGCAAAGGCCCTGTGGCAGAGAGGCCCACACAGTAGAGCAAAGGCCCTGTGGCAGAGAGGCCCACACAGTACGTACAAAGGCCCTGTGGCAGAGAGGCCCACACAGTAGAGCAAAGGCCCTGTGGCAGAGAGGCCCACACAGTAGAGCAAAGGCCCTATGGCAGAGAGGCCCACACAGTACGTACAAAGGCCCTGTGGCAGGAGAGGCCCACACAGTAGAGCAAAGGCCCTGTGGCAGGAGAGGCCCACACAGTACGTACAAAGGCCCTGTGGCAGAGAGGCCCACACAGTAGAGCAAAGGCCCTGTGGCAGAGAGGCCCACACAGTAGAGCAAAGGCCCTGTGGCAGGAGAGGCCCACACAGTACGTACAAAGGCCCTGTGGCAGGAGAGGCCCACACAGTACGTACAAAGGCCCTGTGGCAGAGAGGCGTGGACTTGTTGAACATTGAAGAACACAAGGGCTAAAATGAGTGTGAAGGGAAGGAGAAGGATGTTTCCAGCAAGCCTCAAAACCTTCTTGGGGCAGGAGGTGCCAACGGCCTGCGCAAAGGTCGGGGGCAGACAGTGCTGGCTGCCTCAGATCCTCTGCCCATCCCCTCCTGCGGTGGCTTAGGCTTGTGGCCGGGGACCCTCCAGACAGACAGCTTTTCCGAGACACCACTGGTGTCTCCAGCAGAGGGTGACTGACCCAGGACCTGCCCTTCACTGTGGCGGGGGGTCAGCAGAGTGAAGAAAAACACCCACCAGGCAGGTCACGCTTTGATGGCCGCTGGCGTCGGTGGTGTGAGGACCTGTGGCCAGTCTGTGGGAGGCTGGGGTGGAATATTATCCTGTGTCAGACCCACAGACGCGAGCGGCCACAGTCCTCTTCCAGCCCCAGCTCCCTGGGTTCCCCACTTCTGACTGCAGCTCTAATTTGTGGATAAAATTTGACCAGAGAAGATCATTAAGCGCCTGGACCACACAGCATAGTGGAATAGCTTTCCTAGAGCCTCGAGGGGCCTTGATTGGTGCGTTACCCCCCAAATACCAAGGTAACGTCGTCTCAATCTCAGGCTATTTCTGTCCTGTGTCATGTAAATACATTAACAATTAAACCTTCTGCCTGGCCATGCACCACTACCCCCCCACTACCCCCCCCACTCTGTCCCCACTTCCTGTGTTCACACACGGGGTCACACATGGGCACTCACACACCTTCCGGCCCTGTAGTCACCTCGCCCTACCCCCTCCTCCAATCCTGAGGGTGCCGCCTGGCTCAGCTCGCCTGGCTCAGCTCGGGTCTGGTGCTGAGTTAAAGGACTCTGCGGGGAATGGGACGGGGCTGCCTTCTGCTCCTGAGGCAGTCACAGAAAACAAGAGCAGCTTGGGGTGAGTACCAGATCTGTGTCAATTTGACAGGATCCTGCGTTTGGGGAGTTGGGGTCTCAGGAGCCCCCCAAGCACCAGAGTTCTGCTGGGAGCTGAAGGGATTCCCCAGCTGAGCTGGCACCAGGGTTCTAGCCCCTCAGGCTGGCCAGATGTGTGCAGCAATCCCTCCAGGCAGCTGCTCCCTGGCTGCTCTTGCTGATGTAGCTCTGAAGCTGGCTGCCAGGCGCTCAGGGTCTCACTATCCCCTTCCTCATCTAGAGAAGCCTGCACCATGAGGCGGAGCAGTACGGCACTGTCCTTCCTGCTGAGTGAGGTGAGCAGCACTGATCTGGGCTCAGTGTGGACCCAGGGCCTGAGGTCCCTGTTCTGAAAGGCCCCGAGTTGCCCCACATGAGTTCACAGGGGAAACTCCGGTACAGAGAGGCTATGCAGGATTCCAGGAAACCAGTGAGCCAAGCCCACGACCCGAATGCAAGATAGTTTTTATTCATTAAAAAAAAATTAAATTTCATGTGTATAGGAGTTCTGCTGGAAGGTATCTGTGTACCACATGGGTGCAGTGCCTACTGAGGCCAGGAGAGGGCATCAGATCCCCTGGAACTGGAGTTACAGACGGTTGTGAGCCTCCATATTGGTGTTGGGAACAGATCCAGTCCGGCAGAAGAGCAGCCAGTGCTCTTAACCACTGAGCCATCTCTCCAGAATCCCCTCCATTCGTTTTAGATTTATTGTTCATTTTTGTGTGTGCATACTTTTTTTCCCAGGTGAGACAGGGTCTCATGTAGCCCAGGCTAGTCTCAAAACTTTCAGTGTAGCCAAAGATAACCTTGACCTCCTGACCCCTGTGCCTCTGCCTCCTCCACAGGCTGAGGGCTCACACCTCCTTTGTGTGTGGTGCTACAGATGGAGCCCAGGGCTGCATGCATGCTAGGCAGGGCTCCATCCACTGGGGAGGGAGCTGCCTGGAGGCTGGGAACAGGAAAGCTGGGGAGGGCAGGAGTCAGGGAGGGAGCCTCAGGAAGAGAAGAATGGGGGGGGGGTTTCTGTGGAACTCAGAAGGGCAGGCAGCCCCACAAGGCTCACAGGCTGGCCAGGCGCTGCCCGGACAGCCTTTGCCGTCAGTTAAATTATCTATTTATTTTTGAGACAGGCTCTTCCTATGTAGCCCTGGCTGGCCTTGAACTTGCTGTGTAGACTAGGCTGGCCTCAAATTCACCAACATCTGCCTGCCTCTGCTTCACTGGGGGAATAGAGTCTTATGCTACCATGCTCAGCCCCTTTAAAAAGTTCTGGGTAACAGGGATTGAACTCAGATCATCAGGGTTGGTGGCAAGTCCCTTTACCTGCTAAACCATCTCACAGGCCCATATTTTCTACACTGAAACATTCTTAAAATTAAAACAATTTGAGTTAGGGTCTCCTTATGTAGACCAGGATAGCCTCAAACTCATAGAGATCCACATGCCTCTGCCTCTGGAATGTTGGGATTAAAGGTGTTTGTGCCGGGGCAGTGGTGGCACAGGCTTTTAGTCCCAGCACTCTGCAGGCAGAGGCAGGAGGATCTCTGTGAGTTCAAGGCCAGCCTGGTCTGCAGAGTGAGTTCCAGGATAGCCTGGGCTACACAGAGAAACCCTGTCTCGAAAAACAAAAACAAACAACACAAACCCACTTCCCCCCCCCCCCAAAAAAAAGGATGTGTGCATATGGCTTAAACTTTTTTTTTTTTTCAGACATGAACTCACTGTGTAGCCCAGGCTGTCTGGGAACTCATGGTAATGCTCCTGCCTCAGTCTCTCAAGTGCTGGGATGACAGGTATACACTGCTTTCTTGAGATTCTGCCCAAGAAAGAAAATAAGGAAGGAGGGAGGGAGGGAAAGAGGAAAAGAAGGACAGAGAGAAGAGGAAACGGTGTGAGTATCTGAGCACGCCTTAAGGAGGGGACTGTGACCTGGCAGCAGGTGCGCCACTGGGAGACTGCGGAGGGCTTCCTGGAGGAGGCAGTAACTGCAAAGACCCTGTGGCAACTTGAGGAGGAGGCTGGTGAGGCTGGGAGAGAGCGAGCCAGAGGGTGGGAACAGCCTGGGGTGGGAACAGCCAGTCTGTTCCCACCTGAACCTGTTCCCTCCCCAGCCTGTTCCCACCCCAGGCTGTTCCCACCCCAGGCTGTTCCCACCCCAGGCTGTTCCCTCCCCAGGCTGTTCCCACCCCAGGCTGTTCCCTCCCCAGGCTGTTCCCACCTGAGCCTGTTCCCACCTGAGCCTGTTCCCACCTGAGCCTGTTCCCTCCCCAGGCTGTTCCCACCTGAGCCTGTTCCCACCTGAGCCTGTTCCCACCTGAGCCTGTTCCCACCTGAGCCTGTTCCCACCCCAGGCTGTTCCCACCTGAGCCTGTTCCCACCCCAGGCTGTTCCCACCTGAGCCTGTTCCCACCCCAGGCTGTTCCCACCTGAGCCTGTTCCCACCCCAGGCTGTTCCCACCCCAGGCTGTTCCCTCCCTAGGCTGTTCCCACCTGAGCCTGTTCCCACCCCAGGCTGTTCCCACCCCAGGCTGTTCCCTCCCCAGGCTGTTCCCACCTGAGCCTGTTCCCACCTGAGCCTGTTCCCACCTGAGCCTGTTCCCACCTGAGCCTGTTCCCACCTGAGCCTGTTCCCACCCCAGGCTGTTCCCACCCCAGGCTGTTCCCTCCCTAGGCTGTTCCCACCCCAGGCTGTTCCCTCCCCCAGCCTGTTCCCACCCCAGGCTGTTCCCACCAGAACCTGTTCCCACCCCAGGCTGTTCCCACCCCAGGCTGTTCCCTCCCCAGCCTGTTCCCACCCCAGGCTGTTCCCACCAGAACCTGTTCCCACCCCAGGCTGTTCCCCTCCCTAGGCTGTTCCCACCCCAGGCTGTTCCCTCCCCAGCCTGTTCCCACCCCAGGCTGTTCCCACCAGAACCTGTTCCCACCCCAGGCTGTTCCCACCCCAGGCTGTTCCCTCCCCAGC